GGAGAGGACGGTGGTCCACTCCGAGATGTTTACAGCTGGAAGAACCGACTGTAGACCAACCGGGCCGAACCAACACAGACCTGGGGGGCGGCAGAGAGAGGGAGAAAGAGAGAGAGAGAGAGAGAGGAAAGAGAGAGAGAAAAGAGAGAGAGAGAGAGAGAGAGAGAGAGAGAGAGAGAGAGAGAGAGAGAGAGAGAGAGAGAGAGAAAGAGAGAGAGAGAGAGAGAGAGAGAGAGAGAGAGAGAGAGAGAGAGAGAGAGAGAGAGAGAGAGAGAGAGAGAGAGAGAGAGAGAGAGAGAGAGAGAGAGAGAGAGAGAGAGAGAGAGAGAGAGAGAGAGAGAAAAGAGAGAGAGAGAGAGAGAGAAAAGAGAGAGAGAGAGAGAGAAAAGAGAGAGAGAGAGAGAGGAGAGAGAGAGATAGAGAGAGAGAGAGCGAGAGAGAGAGAGAGAGAGAGAGAGAGAGAGCGAGAGAGCGAGAGAGCGAGAGAGCGAGAGAGAGCGAGAGAGAGAGAGAGACAGACAGACAGACAGACAGACAGACAGACAGACAGAGGAGCCGTTATTCCAGAACCCCCGTCACTCTAGAAGTCCCCTCCACTGTTGCTTTCTGGTAAAGTCGGGTTCATCATAGTGAGTGCTACACTCTTCATAAAAACACGTTTTCAGGAGATTCGGTTCTGACCAAATCTCACGATGATCTCTCTTCGTAAATAAACCCAAACCAGAGCAGAAGACCATCAAAACTAATCAGGAGGTTTTGGTCCTGGTCCCAGAGGTCTCCAAGACGTCCACTGACCAGGATCAGTTCCTGCATGTCCTCCTTCAGTGCCTCCCTCAGACCTACTGAAAAAAACACTCAGTGCTCCTGAAGGTGGATCTTGTTGCTGCTTCGCATCCTGAAAAAAGACAAATCAGTGACGGACGGTGTGAAGGTGTGGAGGAACTTACTGAAGAGGAGGAGGAGCAGAGGGAGGAGGAGCAGGAGTCTGAGAGGAAACCTGCAGGAGGAGAGACACAACGAGAACTGGTTCAGTTTGGATTCAGATGATCTTCATGACCTCCACATGAAACCATGATTGAGTCTGACCAGACCACCTCTCCTGAAAACTTGATAATTTATCACACTGACTTTTTTTTCAAACTAATGTTAAATTGTGATCCCTGACTCAAACGGTTCCACAGTTTGTAACCCCGTCCGAAATACTCGAGTTCAAACTTCCTGTCGACTGTTTTTATTCTGTAAATCCAGATTTACTGGATGACCTGAAGAGACGTTTTTAACCAAAACTGAAACCAAAACTTGCCGAGTCAGGGGGAAGCTGGCGTTGATGTGACGCCATCGTCTGTTGAGCCACGTGAACACATCAGCCGCTGATTTACCTGAACACACACAGAAACAAACACACACACACAAACACACACACACACATCAGCACCGACAATGACAATCTCAGCCAAAGGATGACAGAGCGAGCGAGCGAAAGAGAGGGCGAGCGAGGACTCAAGTCCAAACAAGCGCCCAGAAACAAAGACTTCCCAAACTGACCATCGACGGCAGAAAACTGACAAAGAAGGACCGTCTACCACAATCAGGAAACTGCCGTAACTTATCTACGATGTCACTCTTCTTTAATAGAATAAAAACATAAAATTAAATTAAATTAAAAAGAATAAAATGAAATAAAATGAAATAAAATAAAAATAGAATAAAAATAGATAAAATAAAATGAAATTTAAAAATAAAATAAAAAAGATTTAAAAATCAAATTAAAATTAAAAAAATAAAATAGATTAAAAAATAAAATAAAGATTAAAAAATAGATCAAATTAAAAATAAAATAGAACAAAAATTAATATATAAAATAAAAAAATTAATTAAAAATGAAAAAAAGATAAAGATAAAATAAAAATAATAGAATAAAAATGAATAAATATATAAAATAAATAAATAAATCAGAGCTGCAGGTCAGACAGGAAGAGGATCAGACGGACCAATCAGAGAGAAGCACTGACACAAATCAAACAACCAAACCCAGAGACTCGCTGTTAACCTGCAGAGCGTCCGCCGCTCACAGACGCCAAAAAGACAGTTTTAGTCAGCAGCCAGAGAGCCGACGCCGCTCTGAGGGTCAGCTGAAGGAGAGACGAGGCTGAGGAGGAAAAGAGGAGTCAGGGGGAGAGAGGGAGGTGCTGGATTTTATAAAACCGCCAAATTAACATTGGATAGAAAAACACTGAGGGTTAAATTTAAGTCCTGGTCCCTTTAAGTTCTTCTCTCTACCTGCTGAAGGTCTGCCGTCACCTCAGAAACAAGTCTGTTATTAAATCCCTGAAGTAAAAGAAGATCTTTAGTCTTTAACCTGTGAACGAAGCAGCGCTCCACATCAGCCCCGACACACCCGAGGACCACCGAGACCACCAAGACCACCGAGACCAGGGTGAGGAAGAAGAGGAAGAACCGGGATCTGAGCGCTGCTTCTCCTTACAGTCATCACCTGTTCGTGTCGGCGAGACGGGAGGAGTGTGTTTAACAGACGAGTTAGAGTAAAAGAAGAAGAGGAGGAAACAGGAGTTAAAGAGAAAGAGAGTTAAAGGAGAGGAGGAAAGGAGAGTTAAAGAAGAGAAGGAAACAAGAGTTAAAGAAGAGAAAGAGAGTTAAAGAAGAGGAGGAAACGAGAGTTAAAGAAGAGGAGGAAACAGGAGTTAAAGAAGAGAAAGAGTTAAAGGAGAGGAGGAAAGGAGAGTTAAAGAAGAGGAGGAAACGAGAGTTAAAGAAGAGAAAGAGAGTTAAAGAAGAGGAGAAAAGGAGAGTTAAAGAAGAGAAAGAGAGTTAAAGGAGAGGAGGAAACAGGAGTTAAAGAAGAGAAAGAGAGTTAAAGAGGAAGAGGGAAAGGAAAGTTAAAGAAGAGAAAGAGAGTTAAAGGAGAGGAGGAAACAGGAGTTAAAGAGAAAGAGAGTTAAAGGAGAGGAGGAAAGGAGAGTTAAAGAAGAGAAAGAGAGTTAAAGAGGAGGAGGAAACGAGAGTAAAAGAGGAGGAGGAAACGAGAGTTAAAGAAAAGGAGGAAACGAGAGTGAAAGAAGAGGAGGAAAGGAGAGTTAAAGAAGAGGAGGAAACAAGAGTTAAAGAAGAGAAAGAGAGTTAAAGAAGAGGAGGAAACGAGAGTTAAAGAAGAGGAGGAAACGAGAGTTAAAGAAGAGAAAGAGAGTTAAAGAAGAGGAGAAAAGGAGAGTTAAAGAAGAGAAAGAGAGTTAAAGGAGAGGAGGAAACAGGAGTTAAAGAGAAAGAGAGTTAAAGGAGAGGAGGAAAGGAGAGTTAAAGAAGAGAAAGAGAGTTAAAGAGGAGGAGGAAACGAGAGTAAAAGAGGAGGAGGAAACGAGAGTTAAAGAAAAGGAGGAAACGAGAGTGAAAGAAGAGGAGGAAAGGAGAGTTAAAGAAGAGGAGGAAAGGAGAGTTAAATAAGAGGAAGAGAGTTAAAGAGAAGGAGGAAAGGAGAGTTAAAGAAGAGAAGGAAACGAGAGTTAAAGAAGAGGAGGAAACAAGAGTTAAAGAAGAGAAAGAGAGTTAAAATAGAGGGGGAAACAGGAGTTAAAGAAGAGAAAGAGAGTTAAAGGAGAGGAGGAAACAGGAGGTAAAGAGGAGGAGGAAAGGAGAGTTAAAGAGAAAGAGAGCTAAAGGAGAGGAGGAAAGGAGAGTTAAAGAAAAAGAGGAAACAAGAGTTAAAGAAGAGAAAGAAACACGAGTTAAAGAGAAGGAGGAAACAAGAGTGAAAGAAGAGGAGGAAACAAGAGTTAAAGAAGAGGAGGAAACAAGAGTAAAAGAGGAGGCGGAAACGAGAGTTAAAGAAGAGAAAGAGAGTTAAAGAGGAGGAGGAAACGAGAGTTAAAGAAGAGAAAGAGAGTTAAAGAAGAGAAAGAGAGTTAAAGAGGAGGAGGAAAGGAGAGTTAAAGAGGAGGAGGAAACGAGAGTTAAAGAAGAGAAAGAGAGTTAAAGAGGAGGAGGAAACAAGAGTTAAAGAAGAGGAGGAAACAAGAGTAAAAGAGGAGGAGGAAACGAGAGTTAAAGAAGAGAAAGAGAGTTAAAGAGGAGGAGGAAAGGAGAGTTAAAGAAGAGGAGGAAACAGGAGTTAAAGAAGAGGAGGAAACATGATACAGTGAGTTAGAGTTTTTCCTCCATCAGTAGCTCCTCGTTCCTCCTTCTTCTCCATGTTTCTGATCGTCGGTGTTCGTTTGTTTTTCTGATACTCACACAGAGATCCGTCTGTCGGGTGATCCTTCTTCAGGTTTCTGGTGGACTCCCTCAGGTTCATGACTCCACAGTGACCCGACCGAGCTGCAAGAAGAGACACAGACAGACATCAGGGCTCACGCTCTGAGCGAGGGAGGAGCAGGAGGAGGAGGAGGAGGAGGGATTTGCATGTTGTCAAGGCAACAGCCAAAGTGGGGGGGTGCAGCGAGGAAAACCACAACAGGTGAGCAGAGGAACCGGAGCACACAAAGTTTTCACCTTCTCTGTGACGTTTGAGGAGGAACAGAGTGAGGAGGTTAGTGAAGAGTTCAGGTTTGACCCGCAGTGACTGTGAGGAGGAGAGGTGCACAGGTACGCCCCCCCACACCTGTTAGAAATGCTCTCTAACAGCCAGTACCTCTGGGTCTGCTCTCGCTCTGAGCGTCCACCTGAGAGGACGTTACAGTCAGCCTGAGACACACCTGCCAGGTGTGAGTCAGCACACACACACAGCAGGCTGCAGCTCTGCGGACACACAGCAGAGACCAGTCCAACCACGGCTGCAGCACACCTGGAACAGGAGAACATGAGGGGAGGGGGGGAGACCCAGCAGGAGGAGGTCAGGTACGAACTCAGGTCTGTGGATTTCCTGTCATGTGACTGTTTCACGTCCACACGTCAGGATTTCCTTCAGCCCTGGACTCAGTCAGACCCAAAAGTTCTTCAGTCTCACATTAGAGAAGACGAGTCCGCTCTACCTGTCACATGTCTGTGTTTGTGCTGCATCAGCTGATGGTAGAGCAGAGAGAGCAGGGACAGCAGAGAGAGCAGACGGGCGGCTGATCGATCCCACACGGACACCAGAACACCTGCTGACCACAGGAACCAGAAACAGACAGTTTTTATCTGCAGTACTCTGACTGAACACAGGGGGGCGCTCATCCTTCAGGGACGAGGACAGACGAGTTCAACTGTGAAGGAAGTTTCTGCAGCTTAAAGGAAAAAAAACTGAACGAGTTATTAAAAAGGATTCATCTTTACTTTAACAGGAAGCTCGTCCTGACCGCCAAAATAAAACCTGTTTTCACAAAATAAAAGAAACAAACTCGGCTGGTCTGAGCTCGGCGGTCTCACCTGTGCGGCTCTTGCGGCTCCGGTCTCGGCTGTAAATGACGGACGTGTCCGGAGTTTGGTGGGAGGTGGAGGAGGAGGAGGTGTACTTGGAGGAGGAGCAGTGAGTGGACTCCATCCTGTCATGCTGCTCCTCACAGTCTTTGCAGTAAGCCTTACTGAGCGCGTGCAGTGGGTGTTTGAGACAGCGGACGTCTGAGCCAATCAGAGTGGGTTCTTCCAGGACGGTGCTGTGCTCCGCTATGATGGTGCTCTCTGTGACACAGACATGAGGAGGAACTTTCACTGACAGAAACCCTCTGATGACCCGTTTAAAAGTTCTTATTTCAGACTGAAGGTCAAAACGAGGAAAACAGAAGAGGAAATTCAAGAAGGCGGGTCAACACGAGCAGAGGTGGTTCTACTGTTTCTGTGTCTGTGAAAACATCAGTTACTGGATCTGTGAACGTGTGAGAGTGTTTCACTCATCTACAAAAGCCTGAAGAGAGAGTCTGTTCATCCTGAGCTCAGTGCGTCTTCACTCTGGATCATTAAAAGGTTCTTTCCTCAAAGTCTAACAGCGCTGATTTACTCAGAAATACAGACAATCAAACGAGCCGGTTAAACAAGAAAAGAGGTGTTTTAAGATTATTTATACTGAGATCTGAACATGCACCGATAAATCAGCCGGCTGATCGATCTGCAACGATTTCCTCAATTTTGGTGATCAGCTGATTCTTAAACAGATTTTATCCTCCGATCTTATCGACCTCAGCGAAGGTCTGAAGGTCAGCTGTTGGAGCTTTTTGCTTTTGCCAGAATGACAGGCCCCGCCCACCAGGTCACGTGTACACGCACGTGTGCGTCAGCGCCGGCCGCACACACAACAGTCATCCGGAGGAGATCAACCAAACATGTTGAACCAACTACGAGGAAACCTAAAACTGTTTATCGGTGGTTAAAGTTGTTAGTTTGTCGTGTCGATTATTATTTTACAAACTTCCTCAAACTTTGTGATTTCCTTTATTTGTAAAAGTAAAAAACTGCTGTGAACTTTATTCTGGTAAGAGGTTAGAAACAGACCTGCAGTCTGAGCTGAATGTGACCAAATATTGTTAATTTTTAAAATGTGGAAAATAAAAAACTAAAGAAACTGATTTAATTTAGAAGTTTGGACAGAAATATTATAAACTTTCATTTCTATTTGAGAGAACGACCTCATGTGAAGTTAAACACTAAAGGTTTTTATTGTTTCACACGTTCTGTTTCATGTTTTTCATTAAAATAAGATTAGAGCATCGAAGGTTTATGTTGTCAGTTATAAAAATAAAATCAGTATCAGCAGGTCAAGTTTTTTTAAAGATCGGTGATTGGCCAGAAAACTGTGATCAGTGCAGCCCGACTGAAATCTTCTTCAGCTCCTATCAGACACTGTCTTTGTGTGAACGTTCACCTCTGTGAAGAACAGACTGACCTTGAGGGTCGACGTCCTGATCCAAACCTGCAACACCAGAAGAAGAAGAAAAACACCATCAGGGAAAACTCCACCAACCCCGCCCAAGAACTGAAGAGCAGCTCTGTTTGTGAAAACTAAGAGGGAGGGTCTCTGAGCGGACCAACGTGAGGATCAAACAGACAGAGATGTCTTCAGTAGATGAACGTGTCCTCATCAGTCCAAACAGCGGTGACGGGGACACTCAGAGAGAAGCTGGAGCTGATAGAGAGGAGGAGTTTACCCAAGAGCGTGTCCAGCAGCGTGGTCTCCTTCATGGAGGACTCGTCCAGCAGAGAGGAGATCAGGGAGGCATCAGACGCCACGCTGTGGAGGCTGCTGTTGTGGAGCGAGTGGACGCTCTGTTTACGAGGAGTGTGGACGAGGAGAGACTCGGAGCAGGAGACCGAGAGCTGCTGAGAGTGACGAGACTTCGACGACCTGCAGGAGGAGACAAAGAAGAAGAAGGTGAAGGAAAACAGAGCGGAGGTGAATCCGTCTGAAAGAACGCAGCAGCAAACTCACCTGCTGCTCTTCCAGCTGGCTCCTCCCACGCTGTAGGAGGCGCTGCTGTGCCCCAGACTGCGGTCCAACAGGCTGTCATTGAGCCGCAAGCTGCGTCTGGACATGATCTCCGTCTGCTGCTCCTTCTCTGAGGAGTAACAGGAGCTGAGGAGGAGGAGGAGGAGGAGGAGGAGAAGGAGAAGAAGAAGGAGGAGGAGGAGGAGGAGGAGAGAGAGAGACATGATGATGAGTAAAGAAGAGGAGGAGTAGACAAGTCATCGACCAATCAACGGAGAGATTGGTCTTTGTGACTGAAAGAACTCAAACAAAAACCTGTTCAGAAAGACCGACGATAGAAAAGTGAAAGAGTAGAGCTCCCCCTGCTGACCGGCTGCAGTATGACTGTTTACTAAAAGGTCGTATCCTCCGATCGTAGCTGATCATAAGGTCAAAACACTTGAGTGCTACCCCCGACAGAAATGACCATGAAGGCTCAACAGATGACCACATCAATGTCAACCACAACACTGGCGTTAGGAAAACGTCGGTGGTGTGGAGGTATTTTGGTTTTTGGAGGTCGGACATGAAGCAGAGTAATGTGGACTGTAAATTATGTCGAGTACATGTTCTCACAAAGTCGGGGAATACCTCAAATCTTTTTCACCACCTGAAGCAGCGCCACGCCGCAGAGCACGCGCAACGCAAAAGGTTACAAACCCCGAGAGGAGCGAGGAGCCCATGGCGCCTGAAACAGACGACCATTCAGTCGGCTTTCTCTAGAGCGACGCCTTACGACAAAACGTCAAAGAGACACAAAGACCTCACAGATGCAGGAGATTATTGTGTTGGAAAAGACATGAGACCAAGAAACACTGTTAGATTTTTATATCCTGATATTGATCGATATCAGCTGATAGGAAAATAATACATCCTGATAAACTATTTCACATATCGCCCAGCCCTACAGATATCCTTCACTGGTGTTCACACGTTTGTCTGCAGACAGAGAGGTTAATCCAATTAACACACACACACACACACACACACACACACACACACACAGTTACACTGAGTGGACTTTGTTCCGTTTTAACAGACAAGATCATGCGTTTGATTTACAGAGAAATAAAGTTTAAGTGTGTCAGAGCGCGAGGAGCCAAGGAGCCAAGGAACAAGGAGCCGAGGAGCCGAGGTGGGCTCAAAGTCTGGAGGTTAAAAAGAGATTTGGTTTTTCTGATTCACAGAAACGGCAGCAGAGACACGGATCAGCCTGACGACACACACCGAGCCCAGAACAAATCCCTGTGACCTATCAGAGCCTCCACACACACACACACACACACACTCTGACACTCTGCACTAAAACCCCAGAGGAAAAAGAAGGAGGATACCCACAGGTCGGTCCAGCCCCAGCTCTGCAGCTCCTCGTCCTCCTCACACTCACTCATCCCCACACACACAGACACACACACACAGAGATACACACTCGATCACATGCTGTAAACACACACACATACACAGAGAGTGTGTGTGTTTGTGTGGTAGCTCCACAGTTCAAGTTCACCTTAAACCTACTTAGGACTCTCTGAACTTCCTGTTTCTACATCAGCTCAGACCCTGCCCACACACACACACACACACACACACACACACACACACACACACACACACACACACCTGTGACCGCCCCTTTTTTTCTCTCACACACCTTCTGCACATGCTCAGGTGTAGATCTTGTGTAGATCCTGTTGTTTTATTCTCTCTCAGATTATTTAGTGTTTATTTTAATCCTCCTGCAGTCTCTATTTTTACATCTTTATTTGTGTTTTTTTTTCTCTTCTTGTAATTCAGTTTTATTTACTCGACCTGTAAATCTATAAACTCTGATTTCTGAATCCCTGCAGAGACAAAGAGGGACTCACTCACCTGTGTTTGCAGAGAGAGCTCACCTGAGCTGAGATGGAGGTAAAACTCTCTCTCTGTAAACCTCTGTGGATTACCCAGCAGCCCTCAGTCTGACCCCATTATAGACCTGCAGTGAAACGTGCCGACCTGCTGAGGGCGCTGTCAGAGCAGAATTACCTCAACTAAAAAACTCTAAACTTCAAAACTCTTCAGCCTGTTTGTGTTTTAAAAACACAGACATGAACCGATCAGACCAACAAACAGACACAGCAGCTCATTAGTCCGGTGTAAATATGACTAAACCCCAAAATAAACATCCTTACAAATGTTTTTATTGTATCAGACATCCTTAATAACAAACTTAAAGTTGACCAAAGTTTGACCATTAGAAAAGCGTCATTTTCAAGATGGCGTCCATGATGGTTGGAGACCCCCCAGGTAAACAGATTTCACCATGAAACTTCACAAATTTATAAATTACATTTAGACAAATATTGTTTGTTTGTATGTGTTTTTTTTCCTGTTTTTATTTGTTTCTTCTTGATGTTTCCTGCAGTGTCTTTACATGTCTCTGTACAGCACTTTGGTAAACTTTAATGTTTTTAAAATGTGCTGGATTAGAATTAGATTAAAACAGACAAAACTCCAAATATTTTCTTCTCCTAATTATGTTTAAAGTGAATAATGTTGTTTTTAACTGTTAAAGTTCCTGATTTATGTCAAAGAAACTAAAAACTCGGACTGTCAATCATGTGTGAGCCCACCCACGTGTTTTCAGCTCTTTAAACACACATTTAAAAGGACCTGACAAATTACAGCCAATCAGCGTAAAGCATGGGAGATTGAGGCCGCAGAGCACCAATAGAATTCATCGATGGGCGTTTCCCCGCGAAAAACGAACGGACGACATGCTAACGCTAGCTGTAGCTCTCAGGTCACCGACGTTAGTTTAAAATTAACATATTTCATTAAAGGTTATATAATTAGACATCTCTTACCTTTAACAGATCTCAGTTTTCCACAGCGGAAGTTAAATGTGGGACTTTAGTCGACGAGCCTCTGTCTGATATGGTCTAAAAACAGACAGAATTACTGTTGGTTTAACACTTTGACACTTTAACGGTTATGCAGCGATTAATATCTTCCTCCTCCGTCTGAAACAACTCTACTCTCTAACCCTCAAACTTTAAACTGACAGAGAAATGTAAAGAGCAGCAGATTAATCAGCCGGTGTTTCTTAATTACAGCCGAACACGGACAGAAGCTCCGCTGATTATCGCCCCCCTGTGGCGGGAGGAGTAAATAAACCGTCAGGATCATAGATATATATATAAAAGCTAGATGGCTTAGGCACGCTGTTAGCCGACGAAGACCAACGTCCGTGCATGGCGGCCATTTTGCTACGGGCAGCTCTCATGTTTCCATTTTAGATGTTTTTAACAAGCCAAACAGTTTAGAAATCATGTGAAACTTCAGTGTTGTTGAATAAAAAGAGCATTTCTGCCTTCAACTGATGTAAAATTACTGGGTCAACTTTGTAATATGTACTTGGTCTCACTCACAGCGAGTCTGTCAGCCAAGTTAGACAGCTGATAAACACAAACACCTCCACAAGGACTGACACTGAGAATAAAAAATAGGCTGTAATAAAAGAAATTAAAATCTCGATCGCGGTCTCAGCCTTGACAAAGCGATTCAACGTTAACCCAAAGTGAAACAATTGTTCTTCATGATTAAGTCTTTTTTTCTCAAAGTAAATCTGTCATTTTAATATGTCCAAACATCCTGACTCAGAGCCACGTTATTAAGGTCTGTAATAAACTAAACCGTTTATAAATCTGTCAAGATTTCAGCGATTTAAGAGGATTTTTGATCAGATTACTGACCTCCCGTCAGCTACAATGGAGCGAACCAGAATGGTATACTGGAGTAAGATGGCCGCCGCATATAGTCATCTAGCCTTTCTTATAGATATCTATGGTGAGGATGCGCTGACAAAGATCGTTTATTGTACCAAGAGAGTTCCCTGCTTGGTGTAAATCTGTTAAACTGTTGTCCTGCCGCTTAGAGGAAAGAAAAACAGGAGATCTAGTGTTTCTATATCTACTCTCGTGTTGACTTCTTCTTTTAGTCCATAGACTGTATATAGATAAATACAGTATATAGATATAAACAGTCTTTGTTTCAGTCCTCGCTTTAACACTGATGTCGATATTTTTACTTCGGTGAAAAACTACAGGGAGCCATCTTGTTTCTTTCCGCCGTGACCCGGATGTAAACTCTCTCTGAGCGGGGTCAGTACAGACACACGGTTCTCCTCACACATGTGTTCAGAGGAGTCTGATCAATAATCAGGTTAGTTTTTGTCTTTTAATCTGATCTGAATCATGTCTTTATGTTGTTAAATTGTTCCAGTTTGTTTCTATTCTTCAGACTCTTCGTTTCGTCCTGATATTAGAGTCGTTTTTAACTCAGAGAGCTGATGATGTTAGCTTCTGTAACTTTGAGTTTTATTTACTGTAAAGATGAAGATTAAACTCTGATTTTACGGTGGATTAAAGGTGTTTTACTGTTAAATAAAGACCCTGGTGGTTAAAGTGTCTTTAGAGCTTCATGAATCATTATCGTTAAAGTTGTTCTTTAGTTTTCTTGTTTTATTTTAAGGTTTTTTTAAAGATGTTTTCTGTCTAAACTCTCAGAGAAAGTCCGACTATGATTTAAGTGACATTTCTGTAAAGTTCCAGTCTGGTTTTAAATCTAATCTCAGCACTAAAAAAGCACTTTAAGAGTTTTTATTAACGCTCTCCCTTCAAATACGGACTCTGACCAGATCTGTACGGAGGCCGAGAACAGCCACTGCTGCAAATACAAAAACTGAAGGATGTCGGTGTAGTGTTAGCTTCAGTTTAACTGAATCGACTCAGGTGCTACATGGTCTAAAACGACACATTAAACAGTTTACGAAGTGAATTTAATCAATAACCTTTCCACGAACTTCTTTACCTCTGTAAAACACCGGAGCATCGTCGTTATTGTCCTCCAGCAGCTCACTTCTGTTTGGTTTTTTTATTTGCATCCTTTTATTTTTCGCAGTGAGTCTTTTTTTTTTCTTCCTCTGGTCCTCTGAAGCAGCAGCAGCAGCAGTCCTGTTAGTTCCTCAGGACCAGTGGCGGCTGCTGGTCTTTCAAGGAGGGGAAGCTCATTGTTCTGGCCTACATCATAATTGTATTTGTTTATTAGTATGTAACAGAACAGAGTCGCCAAACACAACTGCAGTCGTTCTTAACAAAGACAAAAGTCGCTGAGGATCGGTAAAGTCTCCGGAGCAGTTAAGAACAACGGAATGAATAACTTGGAAAATGCTCTGGTAGATGTTTTATTCTTCAAGATCGCTGATTCGCTTGTTTAGCTGTCAATCAAAAAAGGATTTCGCCTCAGACAGCTCATCCAATCATGGATGCAGAAGCTTGGAGTCCAGGAGAAAGTCGGGACCGCCCTCTCGCCATAGAACTCCAGTGAAGCTGGGCTTCCGATGGGCGGGACAAAGCCCAGCATTTATCCAATGAGCGTCTAGTTTCGCTGCTGGAACAACCCACTTTGAGCTTCCACATTGAAGTCAGCAGAAGCCCAGCGTCCGGCTGTTTAAAGCGCTGAGGCGCTGCGAGGATGAATGAGAACGAAGTTATGCCGGTTACCTGTGATTATCAGCTTCTTATCACAGTGTCTGAACAAAAGATGAAGGCTTTCTAGTGCGTATTTAGTTAATGAAATGTACACACAGCAGTACGTATTTCACCACTTTTTCTTTTTTGGGGGGGGGTGACATTTTAAGGGAAGCCGAGCTTCCCTTGCAGTCTTAGAGCAATCGCCACTGCTCAGGACGTTATTTCAGGTCCTGTTTAGTTTTTATGGCGCTGATTAAAACAAATACGGTCTCCATTAAAAACCTGCTGGTCTGTTAGGATGTGAATCGTAGCTGCAGTTCAGTGTTCAGAATTTAAACAAAAATAAAACTAAAGGTTGTCAAAGTAAACCTGATCTGCTTGGTGTGATTTACTCTGATTTTGGTCCTGTACCTTTAACAGACGCCCACCTGAAGCTCAAACACTTCTCTGTCTGCTGTTTTTGTCTCCGTCAGACTAACGAACCGCCGTCATGACATCGTTGGCTCACCAGCTGAAGAGGCTCGCGCTGCCTCAGAGCGACCCCAACCTCTTCACCCGCAGAGAGGTCGCCTCGCTGCTCTTTGACCCCAAAGATGCGGCGTCCATGGACAGGAGCACCTTCTACGCCCTCGGTGAGTCTCGCTCAGGTTCTGAGAGGACACGGTTCTCCTCTCTACAGCCGGGTTACACCCCCGTCTCTCCTCTCTCACCCTCCAGGCTGCACAGGGCTGGAGGAGCTGCTGGGAATCGAACCCGCCTTCCTGGAGTTCCAGGACACTCTGTTCAGCCGGGCCTCGCTGACCCTGGAGCGCAGCGTCCAGTCCAAAGAGGTCAACGAGAAGCTGGACGCCGGCATCTCGCTCTTCCTCACCCGTCTGTGCCCGTACTTCCTCCTCAAACCGGCCCACAAGTGCATCGAGTGGCTGCTTCACCGGTAAGGTTTGACCCCTCAGAGCCTCCGTAGACCGGCTCCTCTGATCTCAGACTGATTTTTCTGACGTCTGTCTGCAGCTTCCACATCCAGCTGTATAACCCCGACAGCCTGCTGGCGTGCGCGCTGCCGTATCACGACACCAACGTGTTCGTCCGAGTCCTGCAGCTCCTCAACATTAAAGACGCCACCAACCGCTGGAGCTGGCTGCACTGCCTGCAGGTCAGAGCACTTCCTGTCTGTCCCTGTGAAGGTTGAAGTCGAGCACGGTCGGGCGAAAGACACACACATATATATATATTTATTTATTTATTTATTTCACTTCCACGGGTCCAAATCAACTCGTGTTTCTATTTTTTTACCATACATACTTAGTTTGATGTTTCCCTGTCCTGAGATACAGATAAGAGAAAAATATATGAATATGATTTTAATATTTAACAGACAAACTGCGGAACATTCTGGGTGTTAATTATTTATTTATTTATTTATTTACTCTTTTAAAAAAAGTGTCTTCCTCTTTTTTCTGCTTTTGTCCTGATTTTATGTGTTAAAATAATTTCTGTTTGATCACATGAAAATAAAACTAAATATTAAGTTCTAAAAAAGGGAAATCGTGAGTTTTAAGAAGTGACTTAAGCGGGTTTTAAAGTGTTTTAAAGTGTTTTAAAGTGTTTGAAGGGTCAGAGGGAGGAAGAATGGCGTGAAGGGGTGTGGTCTGACCTCTGACCTCTGACCTCTGAACTCTGGCTCCTGCAGAAACCCGGCGTCCCGCTCTCCAGAGGCGCCCTGATCACTCACTGCTACTCAGACCTGGGCTTCATGGACTTTATCTGCTCCATGGTCACCAAGTCCATCCAGGTGAAGGACCTGAGCTCCTCCACGGTCACTCAAGTTTCTTCTTCTTCTTCTGTGGAGTGAAGATCTAAGAGTTTGTTTCTTCTTCTTCAGGCGTTTTCAGGTCACACAGGAAGTGGCTCCCAGCTCAGAGTGATCTTCTCTTTCTACGCCTCCGTCATCGTCGCCGCTCTGGACGCCGTGGAGAAAGTGTCGGACAGCATCATCTCCAAACTGCTGCCGTACGTCCAGAAGGTAAATCATCTCAGGTCATGAAGTCATGAGGATCCCTCCTATTGGTCCTCACTCTGATGATGTCATTTCCTCTTCAG